ACACACACACACACACACACACACACACACACTCATTGTAGGGGTATTTTTTTTTAATCAAAGGTAAGACAAACGAACAAGCTTTAATATGATACCAATAGTTTCATATGTTTAAAATATATCGAGTGCCTGATTCCACCGTGTCGTGACACATAAATATACAGCCCTATTTACGTTACGAGAACTTGTATTTCTTCGATGTATTGTATGATATTGTATAGTAGGGTACGGTTCGGTACCGCATGGTATACATAGTATAGTATGGTATAGTGTGTGATCAATTATTTTGGCACGGCACGTGCTCTTATAATACATAAGAGAGAGAGTGATAGATAGATAGATAGATAGATAGATAGATAGATAGATAGATAGATAGATAGATAGATAGATAGATAGATAGATAGATACGAGTAGACAGAGAAGAGAGAGAGAGAGAGAGAGAGAGAGAGAGGGGGGGGTAGGGAGGGTGACCAACTTAGCAATAGTACAGTTATAAGACTCTAACCCCCTGAATACGTTGACTACGTTATTATTCTTATTATTGTCTTGCCTTCTGAAGCTGTTGTTGCTGTTGCTGTCATCGTTGTTTTTGACTGTGGCTCTTTTGCTGATGTAGAGCTCTTGTTGGTCTCTCTGTTACTATTGTTGTTGTTATTGCTGTTGTTATTATTGCTGTTATTATCGTCGTTGCTATTGCTGATGTTGTAACTGTTATTATTGCTGCTATTGTTGGTTGTCACTTTTGCTGCGGCAGACATTTATAAAACATGAGTAGAAATAGGAAACATAAATAAGTCAACAAAGCGTACAGAAACAGTAAACAGAAATTAGTCATCAAATAAAATCTAAAAAGTAATCGAAAAATAGAATCATTCACGAGAAATAATAGAAATTGATTAAGAAATAAAATTACGATACAAAGCAGAACATATCGAGAAGAAACAGGAATTAGTCAACAATTTACACCACAAATGAAAAGATTAGGAAGGGTTAACAGAAATTCTTGAATACATATAAAAACACGAGATGAAACGGGAAATATTCAACAAATAAAATTACTGTTAGTAACAGAAGTTAAAATGAAATTACAATAAGTAACAGAAGTTAATCAGCAAATTAAATCACGAGTTGAAACAAAAGATTACGACAAGAAACAAAAAATAGAAATTTGACTAAGCAAAAGAAAACAAAATTACTGGAAGAAATAGACATTAATCAACAAATAGAATTACGACAAAAACCACCAAAAAACCCAGAAGTAAGTCAATAAAAAAATGCGATAAGAAATCAGAAATTAAATGACAAGAAGAATTGCGATTAAAAAAAAAACAACCAAAAAAAACAAACATCAAATAGATCTAGTCATTAAATACAATTTCGCACTAAAAGATATCATACGGATATATATGTGAACAAAATATGTAAACGCTAATGCAGGAATTAGTGAACATATAAAATCACGAGAAGAAACTGAAAACAGAAATAATTCAACTAAAACATAAAGAAGAAAAGACACAAAAATTATTTCAAACAAAAATGAGGCAGGAAATAAAATTTTAATAGGAAACAGAAATTAATCAACAAATAAAATACGACCAGGAGTAGAAATTAGTCAATTAGTCAATTACGATAAGAAATAGAAATTAGTCGACAGATAAAATCGCGACTAAACTCTATGCACATTTCCCACATAAATATTTTTATTCGGGGCACATGTGTCGCTCTCTCCTATTACACAATTACAGAAACCCACACAGTGTAAAGTGATATCTGAGATTCTCTCTCTCTCTCTCTCTCTCTCTCTCTCTCTCTC